TCTGTTTACATATAGATAAGACCTAGCATGGAATGTGTATATAGCTAGATTGTAAAACAACTTTAGGTTTGCAAGACCTAAAATATAGACAGGCTGTCTCTGCCTAAAATCAAAACCTTAACATCCAATCTTGATGACTTAGAATATTTGCATAAACTTCTGACCTCTAAAAGTATGTATCCATAGGAAGCTGATGTCCATAATTACTCTCAAAAATTAGTATATAAAATCTTTCAGGAAGCCTCTCTTCACAGGAATATAGTGTGCCAAACATTGAAAATAATTCGAATAACAGATGAAAATCAGAAAGGAAATTCCCCCTCCACCATTTTTCAAGACAATCAACTTCACTAACTACTTTTGTATCAAGAATATATTTTGCCTCTCCATAATTTTATTTTGGAAAATCATTATAGTCCACATCATATACTTAAAAAAATACTGCAGATGGATTAGCATTAATTTTAAGATTTAAAAAAAAAAAATCAAACCATAAATAGGCTGGAGGAAGATACAGGTAAGTAGTTTTATTTGGTCTGAGGATGGAAAAGGCCTTTCCCATGGGGAAAAATGGGATAAAAACCAAGGAAGAAACCATATAGGAAAGACTAATAATGCTCAATTAAAATCCTTTTTAATTTCTATACCTCAAAATGCATCAAAATCAACATTTAAAAACGTGAGGAAAAATACATAGCATAATTAAAAACAGGAGTTAATATGTAAGAAAAAAACCACTAAAATCCTAATAAAAAAAGGATCTAGACTATAATAGCTAGGTGGTTCCTCAGAAGTGAGGATGGAATGGTAAAACGTTGTCTCACATACTTTGGGCCTGTTGTCAGGATGGGCCACTCTTTGGAAGACATCATGTTGGGAAAGGCAGAGGGTCAGGGAAAGAGAAAGGCCCTCAGCCAGCTGGGTTGACACAGTGACTGTAACCATGGGCTCGAGCATATTACAGACTGTGAGGCTGAATCAGGATAGGGGAAGGTTCAGATCTGTTGTTCATAGATTTGCTATGAGTCATAGTCAACTTGATGGCATCTGACAACGTAGGAAGCTCTGGCGGCCTAGTGGTACGAGTTGTGCTACCAACCTGAAGTCACACAGTTCAAACCCATCAGTTGCTCTGCGGGAGAAAGATGGGCAATCTCCTCCCACATCAGCTATGGATCTGTTTTGATTCAGCGTTATATAACAACAACAAAAGCAATAATACAGACTGCAGATCAAGAGTTTTCAGAATAAAGTAGGCATGATCAAGAGAAAGCAAAGTGACCTGTGGGGTGTAGAGGATAAAAACTTAAGTATTTTTAACTTTTTTTTTTTTAAAAAAAACAACACAAAACCCCAACTCTATCCTGGAGATATTTTTAGAATATATATTTAATATAAGGAGCTTCAGAAGCATGTTGTTGTCATGTGCCTTCAAGTCAGAGCTGAACCCTAGCTGACCCTCCAGCAGGTTCTCAGAGGCAGCAAACTGCACAGAAGAAGACTGCCCATCCTTTTCCCATGGAGCTACTGGTGGATTTGAATTCTGTGCCTTTGGGATTTCAATGCAGCTAAGTAGGCCATCCAAGACACCTAATATTTAATATCATAAAATATTGTACTGATAACTAAAAGGATGACAGTTCAAATCACCACTTGATGCCCCATGAAAGAAAAACGAGTTTTCCCCTCTGGAAAAGACTGACACCCTCAGAAATCTGAGGAAGGGTCACTACAAATTAGAATTGACTTATAGGTGAGTGGTTTGGCTGTTATTTTTGTTTTAAATATTTAAATATGTTGGTCTGATTCACAAACATTCCTAAGGGAATATTACTATATTGGGAATTATTTTTCCTTCAAATAGAAATATAAGAACAGAAGTTTAGAAATCATACAAGAAAAAAAAATACTAATGCCAAAATTCTTTGATCTCCTACTAATTATTGTCATTGTTATGTGCCGTCGAGTTGCTTGCGACTCATAGCAACCCTATGTACAACAGCCCTAAACCCTGCTCTGTCCTGTGCCAATCACACTGTCTCTGACACTCCCATCCCGATTACCCTAGTCACTGAATCAATCCACCTCATGGAGGGCCTTACCCTCCTGCACTGTCCCTCCACCCTACCAAGCATGATGTCCCTCTCCAAGGACCCATCCCTCCTTACAATATGTCCAAAGTATGTTAGATGGAGGGAGCCTCAGAATCCTTGCCTCCAAGGAGCAGCCCAGTTTGACCCTTTCCAGGATGAATCTGTTTGATTTCCTAGCAGTCCATGGTACCCTCAATACTCTTCTCCAGCACCACAGCTCAAAGGCATCAATTCTCCTTCTATCCTCCTTAGTCACTGTCCAACTCTCTGATGCATAACAAGTGATAGCAAAGACCATGGCCTGTATCAGATGCACCTTAGTCTCCAGAGAGACACCATTGCTCTACAGTACTTTGGAGAGATCCAAACAGCAGACTTTCCCATGGCAATACGCCTTTCAATTTCCTGGCTACTGGTGCCAACAGTGTTGACTGTGGAGCCAAAAAAATTAAAGCTGTGAACAATCTCAATCTCTTAAAGAAATAAAAAATTAGTAAAACCATATTTTCGTTTTTATTGTTTTAATATGGTAAGGTCTGAGAAAGCTAGCATTTCTGTAAGGAAGAAACTTGTCAATAAAGGAAAATCACTAATTTCCATGAAAATAAGCAATAGAAAAGTGCTAATACTCTCAATGCTGTCAAGTTGGAATGCACCCATGGCTGACCTTCTAGTGGGTTTCCAAAGTTGTAAATCGCAGGGAGGAGATTGCCCAACTTTCTCCTGAGGAGCTGCTGGTAGGTTTGATGCACTAGTGAGGCTCACTCTCTAGGTTACCAGTGCAACTTTCTATGCACTGCATCACCAGATCTCTGCTGACCCAAAGACCATGGTTCACTGACAGATCAAATCCACCAGAGGCTCTGAGGAATAAAGATGGTCACTCTCCTCTTGTATTGTTTACAGCCTCAGAATTCCAAAGGAGAGTCAGCAAGGCATCAGTTCTGACCCAGTGGCAACGAATTTTGGCTTATTTTCCTGTAGCCCAAATCATATTAACCAAAACAGTTCATAAATATGCTTTTCTGTCTACACATTCTGTCTAGGTCTGCTTATATTGCTTCCCCGAGATTGGAAATCACTACCAGCAAAGCCTTTCTGAAGTAGTTCGTCTTTAGCCCACACTTTTAGCTTTGATAACTCATTTGCTTCCCTCAGAACATAGCAGGTTTGTAGGTCTGATTGAGAGAGAGTAGGAGAAGGAGAGTTAGGATATCTGTATTTCACTCAAAGACATGAGGTAGATTCGAGGCAAAGTGGTCTGATGGGCTGCACCAGCAATAAAGGATGAATAAGGTTACCAGCTTTTAAATAAACTCAAGATGGATCAAGGACCTAAGACGAAAACCCAGGACTATAAAGTTCATAAAGAAAAGCTTGGAAGAACTCTAGAAGTCCTAATCCACAACATAAACAGTCTTCCAAGCATCCTAAAAAATCTACGACCAGGACAGGATAAAATAGATGAATGGGACCTTCTAAAAATCAAATCCCTATGCACATCTGAAAACTTCTCCAACATAGTAAAAAGGGAAGCCAAAGACCGGGGGGGAAAATATTTGGTAATGACATATCAGATAAGGGACTTATATCTAGAATTTATAAAATACTTGAGCACAACACAAGATAAACAACTCAATTGAAAAATGGGCACAGGATATGAACACTCTTCACCAAAGAAGACATTCAGATGGCACACAAACACATGAAGAAATGCTCAAAATCCCTAGCTCTAAGAGAGATGCAAATCAGAACAACTATGAGATATCATCTCACCCCAGTAAGAATAGCAAACTTAACAGAACAGGAAACAACAAATGCTGGCAAGGTTGCAGAGAAACTGGAACCTTTATTCACTGTTGGTGGAGTACAAAATGGTGCAACCACTATGGAAGGCACTATGGCATTTTCTCAAAAAGTTGCAAATAAAAATACCATTTGACCCAGCAATTCCAGTATTGGGAATATACCCTAAAGAAACCACAAATGCTACCCAAGCAGATATATGCACACCCATGTTTATTGCAGCTTTGTTCACAATAGCAAAGAGTTGGAAACAACCCAAGTGCCCATCAACAAACAATGGAGAAGCTGTGGAATACTATGCTGCACTGAAAAATAAAGAACTCATGAATTATACAAAATGGGTGACATTAAGCTGAATGAAGTATCTCAGTCACAGAGGGAAAAATGCTACATAATGCCACTGCTGTAAAGTAGGGCTGACAATGGGTTTGGGGGGGAGACTGAGAAAAGAGGGGATAAATAATGTATACTGCACTGAAACATATGAGGGAGGGAACTGTTTAAAAGGGATATATGATTAGGTATTATTGTCATGACAAGAGTCCAGAATGAAAGCTGCATAGTGGAGTGGACTTAGGGGGAGGGATTATATAACAATGAAAGAATTTTTCTTTTACTTTTCAAAGAGAAGAGCGGAATGAGGCAGGGGAGAGGTAGGCAGGGAGAAAAGTGCAGCAATGAATGAATGGAAATCCAAAGCCTCTGTAAACATTCATTAAAATTAATTTAAAAAAAGAAAGAAGAAACAGAGGGACAGAGCTGAAGATAAATATCTAAGCCAAAGATTGTAAACCAGTAAATAGTACTTGTAATCCTGGGGAAAAACTCTCCACGTTTATTCTTCTCTGACCCTGGTTTACTTTCTCAGCAAAGAGGATCATGGAGCAAAGAGAGGCAAACCATGTGGTTTATGCTTCTTGAATGGGTTCTATACCCCTCAGAAGGTCCATTCAGTGGGGCGGCAAAGGTAGATGGGAAATGAGGAAGGGCCAGGCTAAGGAATAATACAAATGAAGCTGCAATCCAGTCAGTGGTAGAATTCCACTGACTGCTTGCTTTGGTTTCCCAGTGGTTCCTCAAACAAGCCAAGAGCCTACTCACCACGCTCTCCTCAAACCACTCCTTTATGTAGGCAGCTGTTGGGCCTGGAATCTGGTTCAGAAGGGCTGCTCTCTCCTGAGGGTGCTCCAGCATCTCCAGGGCCAGCCTCAAGTCCTCGACGAGATGGATCACTGGAAAGGGATTCTTGTAGGAGGCTGGGGTGGACAGTTCAGGCTCACAGGTACCATCACTAATATCTGCACCTGTTTTAGTGCCTAGAACAAGAGAGAGGCGGGAACCTTGGTAAGAAGGATAGACACCATGGGTAAAGAATTAAGCAAGGTAAAGAGCAAGACAGTGAAAGGATGGGAGTTAAGAAGCCTAGAAATATCACAGGTGCTTCATCATTATCAATCACTTATAAATTCCAAGACTTCACCTGTCTCTACCTTGGGCTGGACATGACAGAGAAAGACAGATACCTGCAGGGATAAGAAAGTTGAGACATTTAGGTAACTGAGGAAAACACTGCTAGAACTCCCCAAAACTCAAAAACATGCAAATTAAAGCACTAAGAAAGCAACCTGATGCTGTCGAAATGTAATTCAGACACGACATCACTGTCAAGTCAGAATCAAATCATTGCTGACCCAGTTTTTGGAGGCTGTAAATCATACAAAATGAGACTGCCTATCTCTCTCCTGAGGAACATTGATGGATTCAAACCACAGAAGAGGTTAGAAGCACAAATCCTTATGGACTATGCCACTAGAGCTCCCTTTTCTGCTATTAAATTAATTTATGTCACAAAATTAATGTGGTAGGTTGCTTGCACAAGTGGCCACTAAAATTCCTTCCATTTCCCTCACACCCCATAAAATGCGTTTTGTCTATTCCTCTCATCAAGAAGAGGATTTTTAATCTAGATTGGGCTAATGACTTGCTCTGATCAATGGATTACAAGCAAAAAGGGGTTGAGCTAGGCCTTAAAAAGGTATGGCAGCTACTGCTTTCCCTCTCTTGTAGTCTTAACCCGTCATATTTCTCTGATACAAAGATGCCCAGCCATCTCAGGTGCTGTGACAGACATGCACATGTAGTCATTTGGGGTCCTTCAGCTCCAGCCCAAACTGAGCAGAGTAGGGAAGAGCTATCATGGCCACTGTTTGTATCTTGCAATTGTGACCAAAATAAGTGGTGATTGTTTTAAGACACTATATTTTGGCTTAGTCTATTACATAGAAAAATAGAAAGCAATTATAAGACTTAGTTTTGGTGAAGGTTAATGAATCTTCAGCAGATTTTTGTGACTCTTCTCAATTAGGATAAAAAAAAAAGGCATTGGTGTGAAGGCAATGGCATCTGACTCCTACTAACCTCACAAGGAGGCAGAATCTCCATTAACAGCATCAAAAGACCACATTCTGACACCAACCATCCTTCTCAATGGCATCCACTAACCCTCCAGTGGATCCAGTAATTCATTGCAATGACCATGCAGAATTTACAATGCTCAGAGTTACTGGATTTATGAGAGGAGTTTACAATTCAGGATCAGGAATGATGCAGGGAATGGTTCTTCAATCAGCACAGTTTCTTCTCAGCTTCTGGCAAGTGCTCTGCTCAGGAAAGTATTAGAAAACTCATTAGCTTCATTAAAGCAGGCCTATATCTGACCCTTGGCCTCATGTCCTTAGCCTCCACTTTGTTGTTTTAGGTATTCCAATTAAGTGTCAAAGCCAGAAGGCCCCAGGAGCCAGCGAAGATCTCATCCCACTGCACACTGCTGCTGGTCTCAGCAGGGACCGGAAAGGGTTGACCTGCACCAGGATATTCATATGTCTAACTTTTACTCTGAAAACTCTATGAATTTGGAGAAAAGATGAAAATGATAGAAATGCTTCAGGCCTTTTGTTCATAGGGTTGCTATGAGTCATTCTTGACTTGATGACAATAAACAACAACAACAACAACAACTATTACTATGCTTTGCTGTTAGAGGTACAATATCTGTCAATGTTTTGTACTGGGGAGATCATTTCCATGTTATTGCTTATTTTATAACTTAGGTATGTATATGATTGCTTGTTTATCATTTGCACTTACTAGTATAGCACTTGTCTGTCAGTTTACAGTCTGAGGTAACTTGTGTGTTGTTGTAATGCTGTAAGCAATAGCACTGAAGTTTCAAATGCTAGTAGGGTCATCCAAGGCGGACAGGCTTCAGCAGAGCCCTCAGGTTAAGACCAGTTAGCAGGAATGGTTATTCACGTCTGAAATAACAGGCCTTTGAAAACTCTATGAACAATAGAGGAACATGGGTAACTACAATATTAGAGATAGATCACAGATTTGAAGTAACTAAAAAATGAGCAGTAATGACTGGAAAATTGAATCCAGAAGTATGAAATCTAGGAAAACTGGAAGTTGTAAAAAATTTAATGGAACATATAAAGATCTCAACATTCTAGGCATCAGTGAGTTGAGATAAACTGACACTGGACACTTTGAGTCAGATAATTGTATGTTCTACTATTGGCACATGACAAAAAGAGCTACGTTGGCCTGCTACCAAGCCGAAGGCAGGTGATTTTAATCTGCGGCCCTCGGCCAGGTTCAAATTGTTTTCCTGTCAAACATTCTTCTAGGTAGTATAGCTCTGGTCTGAGTGTTGCTGTACAGAGGTAACTCATGGTTGCTGTGATGCTGAAGACTGTGACAGTGGTGTGCCAATCGTGGTAATGGGCACCCATGGGGGACAGTGTTGGCTGGAGCTTCCTGACTAAAACAAGCCTGGAAGCAGGAGCGACATCCACTTCTGAAATGGCTTGCCTCGGGAAACTCTATGTACTCACTGCTCAGGCCGTTCGTTCATAGGGTTGCTATGAGTCGTCTACGACTCGAAGGCACCAAACAACAACAACAACAACTAGAGCAGGGTTTAGAGCTATTGTACACAGGGTCACTATGAGCCGCAGGTGACTCAACCCACATAAAAAACAACAACATTCCGGGAATGAAAAATTGAAGAGGAATGGCATTTGTAGTAAAAAGACATTTTAAGATCTATCCTAAAATACAATGTGTGAGTGACAGGATTTTATCATTATGTGTACCAGGAAGACCTATGGATACAACTAACTATTATTCAAATATATGCAACAATAGCGAAACAAAGAGGAGAAAATAGAGGATTTCTACTAACTTTTACAATCTGAAACTGACCAAACATGCAATCAAGATTGCATTAATAATAACTGGAATTACTGGGATGCAAAAGTTGAAAACAATGAAGAAAAAAATGGTAGTAAAAAATGTCACAGACTTGGTGACAGAAATAGGTTGGAGATCAAATCACTGAGTTTTATACATGACTTATTCATTATAAATACCTTCCTTAAGAAACATAAACGTCAACTGTACACATAAACCTCACCTGAGGGAATGCACAGGAATTACACTGAAAAAAAAATCTGTGCAAAGTATCATTGAAGAAACAGTACAAGCAATAAAAAAACAGGCCCAGTGCTGATTGCAGAACAGACCATCACAGGAAGACATTCAGATGGCCAATAGACAATTGAAGCAATGCTCGAAATCAATGGCAATAAGAGAGATGCAAATCAAAACTTCAGTGAGATATCATCTCCCCCCAATTGCAGTGGCAAAGTTTAACAGAATAGCAAGCAACAAATAGTGGTAAGGATGTGGAAAGAATGGAGCTCTCATACACTGTTGGTGGGAATGTAAAATGGTACAACGACTGTGGAAGGCAGTTTGGCATCTCCTCAAAAAGCCGAACACAATGAATGAATGGAAATCCAAAGTCTCTGTAAACTTTCATTAAAATTAGTAACAATAGTAAAAAAGAAAGTCTACCATCAGAATTTGGCCAGAGGTTGTATGACATGTCAGCACTATAATGACATTATAATGACTGTTATAATTAAAATGCTATGACATTTTAGCAAGAGAAAAAACCAAAAAGCCAAACACAGAGATTCCATATGACTCAGCTATTCCACAGGTAGGGATAACAGAACTGAGACACAAATGGAGATTTGTACACCAATGTTCATAACAGCATTATTCACAATAGAAAGAACATGGAAACAGTCCAAATGTCAACAAACAACTCGATTGAGAAATTGTGGTATATTCATATGACGGAATTACCATGCAGCACTCAAGTGAAATGATTTTTGAAAAATACTATGTAAAATGGGAGAAGGTAGAGAGCATTATGCTGAGTGAACTAACTCAGGCACATAAGAACAAATACTATATAATACCATTATTATAAAAACAGAAAAATAAACAGTAAGATGTGTATGGATAACCAAAGAGGGAAGGGAAGAGAACAGGGGGGCAAGGGGACTGAGGATAAGGAGGAGGGGAAATCATGGGGTCACAGGATTTGGTGGGTGGAGGGAGAGGGCAAAACACAACAATGTATGTTAAACACAATGCAAACAAATTATTGTATGCAAACCAATAAAAAACTATTAAAAATTTTTAATAAGGTAAAAAAAGTCAAAACAAAGGGAAGAGATGCAGAAGTGAAAGAGATGAACAGAAGATTTCAAAAGACAGCTCAAGAAGACAAAGCAAAATATTATAAAAGAATGTGCAAAGAGGTGGGGTTGGAAAATAAAAAGGGATAAATTTGTTTGGCATTTCTCAAGCTAAAGAAGCAAAAACCAAATTCAAGCCTCAAGTTGCAATACTGAGAGGTGCTATGGGCAAAATCTTGACTGCTCCAGAAATCATTAAAAGAAGATGGGAGGAATTCACAGAGTCACTGTATCAAAAAGAATTAGTCAACATTGCAATGTTTCAGGAAGTAGCATATGATAAAGAACCAATGGTAATGAACGAAGAAGTTCAAGCTTCACTGAAGGCACTGGGAAAAAATAAGGCCCAAGGAATGGATGGGTTATTAACTGACATGTTTCAAATTACAGATGCAGCCCTGTGCCAGGAAATCTGGAAGATAGCTACCTGGCCAACTGACTGGAAGAGATCCATGTTTTCCTCATTCCCAAGAAAAGTGATCCTAAGGATGTGAAAATTATCTAACCATACCATGTTGCTGCTGTTGTTGTTATGGGCCATCAAGTCGCCTGCAACTCATAAAAACCCTATGTACTACAGTCCTAAACCCTGCTCTATCCCTTGCCAATCTTATTGTCTCTGACACACCTATCCCCATTACCCCAGTGATGGAATCAATCCACCTCATAGACGGTCTTCCTCTCCTGCACTGTCCCTCCAC